GCTCTTTGTGAAACTTTTAAACTTGACTGATAATTTTGATCCCCTCTTAGCTTTCATCTAGACAACATAATTTCTGTCGACAAGGCTGACTTTAGAGCCCCAAACAAAATCGCAGAAAAGTTAGTTTATATGAAGGGCAATAACTCGCTAAAGAGGTAGACACACTGATTTTGATCATGTTGACATCTGTAGATCTTATATAGCTGATTGACTTTGATGTTTAAAGGTTGAATTATCTCTGTGTTTTATAGTTTCCAACATCTTGTTTTAGCTGTGTACAGTTTCTCTTTATCGACCATAAGTTTTAGCAAAACACAAAGGATACAGTCATCATTAGGAGGTGGAAGTTGACTGAAAATTCATGCCAGATTTGACTTTCTTGTAGATCTTGTCTGGCTAATTATTTTTGTTGTATAACTTTTTTCTCGATTTATATCAGTTTCAAGATTGCCTTTAGTTAGACTTAAATAAATTGCTTCGCTGAGCGCAGCTGGATACGACCGAAGATGTCCAAACCTGAAAATTTGGGGCCAAAATGGACACAATATTCACGCTTGATACAGGTCTGAATTTGGATTGTAATTAAATTTTTGACACATAATAGGTTTCTGACACAGAATAGCTGTAGTCAAAGAACTTCAAATTGGTTATATGATTTGAATTTATATTCAATTTTTTGCGTTTGTGCAATACACTTTGCTGTTGAATATTAACCCCCAAAAAATATTTGAAGAAATTTTCTTTTAACTTTTGAAATCTGAAATGAGAAAAATTGTCCCCCTCCAATTTTTTTCACCTCCCCCCTTTCCCTTATTCCAAAAAACAATTCTTTCCCTCAAGTTATGGTCAGTATCTCAGACAATCATCATTTCTTAATACATAATTTACAAGCAGTGTAAGGGAGGTAATCAAACATTGTTATTTAAATTGATTTGGATTTTGATTTGGATTACCTCCCTTACACTGCTATTAAATTATCTCAATTGTCCATTAACCAGAAAAACCCTTGTTTTTCCCCTTTTTTGCCCCTAATTCCTAAATGGTTTGAGCCATTACCCCCCAAAAGTCAATCCTAACCATCCCTGTGTAGTATGGAAACTTGTGGTATAATTTCAGAGAGATTCATACACTTTAACAAAAGTTATTGTCTAGAAACTACAAAAATGCTTATTTGGGCCCCTTTTTGGCCCCTAATTCCTAAACAGTAGGGACCATAACCCCCAAAATCAATCCCAACCTTCCTTTAGTGGTTATAAACCTTGTGTTAAAATTTAATTGATTTCTATTAACTGATACTAAAGTTATTATCTGAAACCATCTGTCTTTGGACGACGCTGACGAAAACGACGATGACAACGTGATACCAATATACGGCCAAACATTTTTAAATTTTTGCGGTCATATAAAAAGAGTAACAGTCGTCATTTAAGGACATATATGGAGTCAATACGACAATTACAGTCATATTGATTAATTAGTCTTGTTGGAAATTTTGGCTATTAAATCTTCATTCCATCTATAAAAGTTTTCAATACAAATAACTTAAATATGCTAAATAACTTTCTATCCGAGGCCCCCAATTATTCTGTGATTCACCTGGTATGTATGCATAAAATTGATACAATAAAATTAGAATTACATTTCAAGCAAAAACGCAAAATCCAAGTTTTTATTCAACAGTGTCCTTAATTCTATATTATAGTGTATTTATGTCCCTTCAGATGTTTGTTTTTATCTATATATCATAAGAATGACAAGTTTTGGTTCCAATTTGCTCAGTAATTTCAAAGAACCAGACTTTTGTACAAGTTTACAGACGAAGATGGCAGACGGCGAGAGATGAGAAAAGCTTAATTTGCCATGTAACCAAGGCAAAAAAAATCCAAACTTGGTAAAAATCGTTGTTTAAAGTCATTTTAAGTATTTCTGTGATATTCTATCTAAAATATTTTTCAAGTAAAATAACTATAAAATTTGCTAAAAGCTCAGTGACATTTAATTTCTGTTCTGAAAATTTAAGATAGATCAACACCTACCAACCATTGAATATTATACTGGTAAATTAAGCCAAGAACTATCGTTTTAATTTCAGTGCTTTATTTTTACCTGTACCAGCCATAATTTTTATCAGGTAGCAACAGAATACAGGCTTTTTACAGAATATATGCTATGCATTATTACTGTTAAGTTTGATAACATTTGATTATGCAGTTTTAATGGGAAATATTTTAGACAGACAATGTACAAAATGATGACAACGACGAACGCCCAGTGTTTATATAACCCCATAATGCTCTTAAGAGCCAGGTGAGTTTAAAGGAAAGATCTTTAAATCATGATCAGAAATATTTGTTTTACATTTTGTCCTCAGCAATACAAAAACTGATGGTTGCTAGGCATTTTCCACAATATGAGAATGGCTACTAAAAACTACTGTACGCTATTGACCACTTCACCCCTTGTTGTAAACCTATATATATGCCTGGGAAAACAGCCTTAGTACTTATTTCAAATGATTTAAAGAACACTAAATACACACAAAAATATCTATGATGTTTTAAGTTAGAACAGGTGACAACGTAGCTGATGATTAACTGAAATACACACAAGTAAAATCATGTCAGTAAATTATTTCTGTTCTTAAAAGGAGTTTGACATTCTAATTGAAAAAAAGAATTACATTTTAGTTTCAAAATTTCAGAATTTTGTCATAAGGGATCAAAACATTGATGATTGCTAGGCATTTTCCAACTATATTGACCCCTCACCTTTCAATAAGGATCTATCAGTCTATATAACAGTTATTATTAGTCTGAACCCAAGTATGTATGGTTGCTAGGTACTTTTATATCAAGTAAGGGTAGTTGCTAAGAATTTTTGACATAATTACACCTTATATAAGAATGCTGGATTTTGATTGGTTGGTAGCCAGTGTATTTTTCGCATATTCTAAACTTTTTTTCTCATTTCAAACGAATTTGCATGTTTTTTCACCACTGCCGGTGAATTTGCCTCAAATTCCCCTCTATGCCGTGGTATTTGCCATTTTGGATATTCCTTTTTTACCCTCCCAGACTTCTTCCCGCCAAAATCATTAGGATACTACGTTACATCAAGACAGCGTTAACGCGTATAAGTACATGCATAATTCCCGCGGTATTATGATAGTCTCTACTTATCCTCAAAATTATGCATAAACATGTTTATGGGTTACAGCTGACTAGTAAATCAATATTTCCTTTCACCAGTACAGAGAGTTTCAATCAAAATCTATTCGGTGTAATTAAACAGATATATCATGATATTGAGGGGTATTTGCGAAAAATACCAGTCTTGGGACCAAATTTCCCTTGCCTAGCGGCTCGGGAAATTTAACAGTCCCTCGACTGGTATTTTTCTCAAATACCCCTCCATAACATGATATATCTGTTCATTACCTTGACCTCTGGCATTTATCCTTGTTGTCAAAAAAAAAAAATTGTTCTAAACATTTTTTCTATTCAAGGTAAAGATATATTTGTAACCATTTCTGACAAAATCTAATGAAAAAGACTCAAGCTCATCAATAACCTTTTATTTTTGGAACAAACTTAAGGTAATTGAATGCGCAACATTTTTCAATTGATTTTCATCCTTTATCTGTCATAGATAACAAGGTCAAAATTATTTTTAAAATAACAAAAATTTCACTTTTAGGTTATCTTAGCAACCACCCTAGCAACCTGAATCCCAAACCTTAAGTTATAAATTATTACTAGGCAACAGTGTTAGTTTATGTTCAATGTAAATGGGTGTGGATGCAAAAATTTGTAATTAGTTCATGCAAAATGCCTATAATTTGCTTTCTTGATTACAATGAAAACTCCCTTATTTTAATCAGTGTTGCCACCTTCTCCCCTTTTCATTAGAATTATTTTTTATCTTTTATCTATCTAATTAAAGGTTATATTTTAATGAACAAATGTTACAATATTCATCAAAATTGAAATGTGTGCATGATAGCTGCCTGGAAATGGTATTTTTTTTTACCTCAAAAAAGACAATTTTGAGCCAAAATCCAAGGGGACATCATCAAATTTTTTGTCAATATATTTCTAATATGTTTGTGAATAGCTATTAATAAACAAAATTTCAAAAAAATCTGAGACTATGTGTGCCGCAACTTGGTTGATGGTTACAGAGAATTGCTATTAAAGACAATGACCCATATGATCAGGAATTTCATTTTTAAACAATTGTAGGGTCATAAATCAGAACTGTTAAATAGGATACCTGAGAGAAAAAAGTGCCTATCAATCAATCTATGTATGTCTATATATTCAGTGATTAGAAATCTGAAAATCTGACCAATTCCATTCACCACTACAGATGCCTATTGTATGTTTGTGTCATTAAACTGCTTTTCTTATCAAAGTACATATTTCATAGCTTGCTATGTGGTATGGGGTTTGCTCATTGTTGAAGACTGTACAGTGACTTGTAGTTCCTAACCTTCTACATAATTTTTTCTCTGGTGGAGAGTTGTCTCATTAAGGAATGACTGTAATATTTTTTCTGTCTATGAAGAAATAACATAAAAAATTGGTGCACACTGAATAACCCACGTAGCGGGTTATTTAAAAGTGTGCACCACATTTTTTATGTTATTTGGAAAAGACAGAAAAAATATTACAGTCATTCCTTAATGAGACGTTGCGGTCACATGACAACATTATGTTTATGAGCTGATAGACAAAACACTTTCAGCCAATCAGAAGACGTGTTATATCCAAAATTAAATTATTTGGCAATAATACCACACTTTCTTATTTTTATATATTATTGTATATGATATATTCCACATCTTAAATGTAAAATAGAGAATGCAGACACACAACGTAGTTGGAGTGATATTTGCCCTACAGTTTTGAATAGATGGATGTTTAATGATATTCTAAGAAGTAACACAGCACATCATATAAATGCTAAATAACCAAGTAGGAATAAAGAAAAGTTGCTGATTTTCATGTATACACAATTAAATTTATTAAAACAGAATATCAATGTTGTAACACTTCTAACTCTTTGTCAATTTGAGCCTTATATTTTCGACGATATTTAATATTTTTCTCATCCTTTTTGTAGTACTGGTATTCGTCATTTGGATCTTCAAGATCAGAGTGCAATAACATGTTTGAATATTCCATGTTCATGTGTAAATTCTTAGGTAAATCCAATTTTAAAATATCTTCATAGGCACAAGAGTCCTTCACTTCAGTTTTAAAGTAGTTCACTACATCTTCAACAGTGTTCATTGAATTCAAATCCATATTTGTTACCATGTGGTCAAATTCTGTTTGGCATTTTGTAAGAAACTGGATGAAAAATAAAGAAAAGCATTTAAAACATGTGATCTTAATTTTGTAAAATTTCTCAACCTACTATTACAGTTTTATTTACAAGACATAGATAAATGATTTTCAGTTATCAAATCTAGTGTTTTATTTGTATTGTACATATGCTTGTTCTACTCAATTCAGCAATTCCGGTAAAGTAAACAGACAATAAGCACTGAATGGACATTTCTGAAGACATTTTCAAAATGACCATTCATTTAAAGTGTTTAACCAAGAGGCACACCTGGTGAAAAAAATCACCAGTTTACTAATTAGGACTTTAATATACACATACTATAGTAACTTTTTGTGTTGCTGATCATTTTTGTAATTTACATGTTTAACCTACCTCCTAAACTTTATTAGATAACACCCAAAACTATGAAAACAGTAAAAATTACCATTTCAGGGGCAATAACTCCAAATGGGTTGTCAAAAATAACGGAGTAGATAGAAATTGTCATGCTGATCGTTTTAACTCCTATAGTGAACAGCAAAAAAATGTATGTACCAGGGCCAATATTCACAAAATTTATACTTTTAGTTGACATCTTATAAATGAAGTTGACAAACTTTGGTTTCAATCCATTCAGCAATTTCAGAGGAGCAGATTTTTAAAGAAAAGCTTATGGATGAAGGACTCAAAGTAACGGCAAAGCTCACATAGCAAAATGGTCTCTTTCTATCATGAAAACAAAATACCGGTACACTTGTATAAAGTTTTTGTAGGGAAAATTTTATTTTAATTCCATTCATTTTTGGTTAAGTTCAGCCTTGTGTTTCCAGAATTAATACTAGGACAAAGTTTAAATATACAAAATAAAATGGTGGTGATATCTCACATGACACTTAGGTGACCCTGAGCCAAATGTATATCTTACCTTGAATTTCTGAGTTCTATCTTCTAGTTGAGTAGATAACCAGTTATCACTGTTACCATAGAGATCATTAGTTATAGTTTGTATCTTCTGTTCTACATCTTCTACTGGTTTATAACCTCTCACTGTCTGGATACCACTAACATAAAATGTCACAAGGTTAGAAACTTAAAATATATATACAGTAAAATTCATGTTCCTGTCCTAAAGTCAGTAGCTCTCTTTATCATACATTTGTATCTTAATGTTTCTACTTATTTTGAGAATTTAGTTTAAACAATATTTTATTTTCAAAAGTGCACAAAATACAACTATACAATAGAAATACTGGGATTCAGAAACAAGAAGAACTTGTATAAATCTGTCTCCCTTGAATTTGGCGTTGCTGTCATTTATTCACAACTTTTTTTAAGACTTTGGACAATTTATAGCTTGACATATTGTATACCCTATGATTGTGGCCATGATTGGCCATGATTGGTCATGATTGGTCCAGATTTGGCCCAGCGGTTTCACTGGAGAAGATTTTTGCCTAGTTTATATTCTCAGGAAGATTAAGGGCTTGATATTTTGTATAGACACATGCTTATTGTGGAAGATTATGTTGCCCTCTAGCTATATATATAGATGTGTTTGGTTATTTTTGGCTTGTCTCATTTATGTATACCCCACATCTCCCTTTATTCATAACTGTCTACTGTTGAAGACTATATGTTGCCCACTGCTATGTCTACTGTTTAAGACTATATGTTGCCCACTGCAATGTCTACTGTTGAAGACTATATGTTGCCCACTGCAATGTCTACTGTTGAAAACTATATGTTGCCCACTGCCATGTCTACTGTTTAAGACTATATGTTGCCCACTGCCATGTCTACTGTTGAAGACTATATGTTGCCCACTGCCATGTCTACTGTTTAAGACTATATGTTGCCCACTGCCATGTCTACTGTTTAAGACTATATGTTGCCCACTGCCATGTCTACTGTTGAAGACTATATGTTGCCCACTGCCATGTCTACTGTTTAAGACTATATGCCATGTCTACTGTTGAAGATTATATGTTGCCCACTGCCATGTCTACTGTTGAAGACTATAGGTTGCCCACTGCTATGTCTTATATAATTTGTGCTGTTGTGTTACTATCTCACTGACAGCTTCATCATATTCCTTACGATCTTTTCTTCAGTCCCTGGAATCTTTCTTTAAATGTTATTCTATCCTCTTTTTGTTCTCTCTTTAGCTCCTCTTCAAATGAGTCTTTACCACGAAATCTGTCGAAAAATCCTGTTCTGACAAATATCTGCAAATGATATAAATAAATATCTCATACAGTATAAATAAAGGTTTTTTTCTATGTATTTCTCATCAGTAATGAATTTTATACTTCTATTATTACTTGATACAATAATCTTGTATAGTCTTTTAAATTTAAACCAAATTAGTGGTTTCTGCACAAAACCTAAAATACTAATGTTAAGTTTGATTGACTTAATTGAGGACAGACATTTGAATGTACATGTATCCTGTTTGAGTATGTAAAAAAATTCGTAAGGGTTCGGCGGAACCCAATGTCTCGCCTACTTTTGCTGTTAATCGCAGGCTCAACAAAAATGAGGAAAAAAATTAATAAAAATATTCCTCTCTATACTATCTTTTGATTGTAAGTAGCTTCTGTCCAAGTTTGGTAAAAATCCAGGATAGTTTAAGAATCTAATAAATGTTTTAAAAACTTAAAAGTGCAGACTGTATGTAATGTTAACTGGAAGAAAAACTTAGTCCATTTATAAGTAAAATATGGAAAAAATGGATTTTTTTTTTACTTTTTTACAAAATTTACTTCTGGATACTATCTTTTGATCATAAATAAGCTTCTTTCCAAGTTTGGTAGAAATCCAGGATAGTTTAAGAAAGTTATCAAAATTTCAAAAACTTTAACCACAGAGTGAATGTTATGTTTCTTGGCAGAAAAACTAAGTACATTTATAAGTAAAATACGGAAAAAATGGAATTTTTTTTTACAAAATTTACTTTTGAATATTATCTTATGATCATAAACAAACTTCTGTCCAAGTTTGGTAGAAATCCAGGATAGTTTAAGAAAGTTATTAAAATTCAAAAACTTTAACCACAGAGTGAATATTTGTGGACACCGCCGACGATGGCGACGGAATGTAGGATCGCTATGTCTCGCTTTTTCGACAAAAGTCGAAGGCTCGACAAAAATGAGTTCTCTGGGGAAATTCAACTCAAGAGTTTTGTATTTGTACAAAGATCAATAATAAGCCGACTTATATTTGTTGTTTTTAGCTTCAAATTAATCGTTATGTTTTAAACTAAATTATACTTTATGCATATAACGAGAAAACAAGAATGTGTCCATAGTACACGGATGCCCCACTTGCACTATCATTTACTATGTTCAGTGGACCGTGAAATGGGGTAAAAACTCTAATTTGGCATTTAGATTAGAAAAAATCATATCATAGGGAACATGTGTACTAAGTTTCAAGTTGATTGGACTTTAACTTCATAAAAAATTACCTTGACCAAAAACTTCAACCTGAAGCGGGACAGACGGACGGACAGACGAACGAACGGACACACAGACCGAAAAAAAATAATGCCCCTTTACTATTGTAGGTGGGGCATAAAAAACACTACCTGGAGATAGTGTTTCTTTGTTTGCATTAAAAATGATGACATATATAAAATTCCTAACAATGGGACCAACATCTGACCATTTGTGAACATATATTTGTTCCGCATAATACTTGTTCCCCCTGGAACAAAACTATGCGGATAATAAAAGTTCTTGGGAACAAACATTACATAATATTATTTCCACCTTCATATTTTCCTGGAACTAAAACATCATATGGTTTCATAATATTTGATACTTTAAAGAAAGAGTGTCATGTGATTTTTATTACACCTGATTGCATCTTAATTACTGTAATTAATGAATTGTAGCTAGAAATAATTTTGGATATTGTAGTATATACATGTATTCCTAGAAATTTGATCATATAATAAATATTCCTTGAACTTTAATTATCTAATAACCAATAACCATGATAACTATTCCTGGAACATTTATAATATAACCAATATTCCTGGAACTTTTATAACATAACCAATATTCCTGTATATAAACAATGTTTTGTATATGCAATGTATATGTTTAAAAATGCTTTTGCCTCATTTGTTGTTACTTATATTTATGTTGCTACCATGATAGAAATCAGTATATCTGTTATAGGTAACTTTGATCACATAACAAAAGTTCCAATTCAAAGTTTCATACTGGTGGAAAACGTCAAAACATTGTCCATAATATTTACTCCAAAGAAATTTTAGCATATAACAAAAGTTCCATTGGGAACTTTCATTATGTAATATTTTATCCTTTGTGAAGGGAATTTTCTTATAGCATTGGATAAAATATTATATAAGGAAAGTTCCCAAGGAACTTTTGTTTTGTGATAAAAGTTCTTTGGAACAAACATTATGGGGGAACTTATATTCTGTCAAAACATTACTGTAATTCAGTTACTTTTTCACCAGAAACAATATTTCAATGGGAATTCTTTGTTGCAAAAATTTTTGTTAAATACTTAATGATTGTTCAGCCCTAGTAGTTATATCAATTGTGTATGGTATCTCAGAGGTTACTGGTTGTTTTATATAATGTAATAATTTGTAAAACATATAAATAAGACAGAATCTGTTCGACCGCGCATGCAGGGACGAGTAGCCAAATTAGTCTTTGTAGGCTACGCGTACCTGCATCCGGTTTTATTATTAAATGTCATCAGATCGGGAATAAAATGTGAAAAAAACACAGAAATTAGCGCAATTAGAGTATAAATTGATTACTCATAAAGATGAGAAATGTCCCTGGTTAGTTTTTAAATATTTTTCCTTTAAATATTAACTATAATTTTTGATATAATGGAATCTATCATAAAAAATAATTAAATGATAATCAAATTAAAAAGCATTACAAACAAGTGAGAAAAACAAAACAAAATAAAAACAGTTTTAAGTTCTTTAAAAAAATATATAAATAAAATAGATTATCTATACATATATTTATATAACACATAATTAATTCAAATAACATTGTTCATTTTAACCTATATATCAACACCTGAAATATTTTATCATATTTCAGGTGCAACAGTAGAAGGAGTAAAATATGAATCCGGAGTTCTGAATGGATATATAGATTCTACCACTGCATCGAGTGTGATACGGTATTTATCCACTCAAGACAGTTAAATTTTCAAATTTAAAACGCGAGGCTCACCGAGCATTTTAAATATCAGTCTTCACGCTGAACCACAGGCCCAGCAGCCCAGGCTTGTAAAATTGCTCTCGGGCCTGTAAAAATCATATTTACAGGCCAACAGAATCTAACTAAAATTTTCCAAAAATTAAAAAATGCCAATTTGGCTACTCGTCCCCGCATGCGGGGTCGTGCAGACACTGCCTATAAATAAATGGTGGCTTTAGAAATACATGAAATAAGATATTCAAAATCCTGTAGTTTTAATTTTGCAAAAAGCAGTATTTGATAGTTATTTACAATGATTTATATACGGACTTCGTCCTCTTAAACAGATCACACACATGTTATAAGGACTTCGACACATGTGTCCTATTATGCCAAACAGTATATTGTAATCTATTTTGGGTGATTGTCCCCATTCTGTTTAAGTGTTAGAGAAAAATTGTGGTGTAAACATGGCTAAATTTGTCTTTTTCTTATAAAGACGAACATGATAATGAAAAAGTCCGACTGAAGGAGTTGTATCGAACCCAAGAACTTGTTACCTTATTTCTATTTTGCAATCACACTATATATACCTTGTAGTGATTAAAAGACTGGAAAGTCAGGTTTTTCAAAGGAGAAATCTTTGATCGCACGGAGGCCGCCATGTTGGAAAAATCGACGTCGCATCGACGCTTCCCATTAAAAGAGCCCTTCCGTTCAAACACTTGATTGACTATTGACTCGACTAAAGAGTGTACAACAAGACTGTTTTTCAAGCTTTACACAAGGTTTAAATGGTTCTAGCTCATTTGAATTAATTCATTGATAAAAAAAGTTATTCAAAGATTCACACCAAAGGCAGTTTATGTGTTTTCCATAAACATCTATTAATCACTAAAGTTCTTCTCTTCTGGTTGGCATTTCAACAATATGTTTTTTTACACTTTTTGAGAATTCCATAGGAAATTGGCTAGAGTTTATGGAATTGCTTATGGTCCCCAGCTGATTCAGGTCTGGGGCCAATTTAAATGGGTATTTTAGAGCTGTGGGCTGGGTAGATGCAAATTACCCTGCTTATGTGTATAAATACTTGCCTGATAAAATTATGTAGTCCAGATATATAATCATGCCGTCTGCTGAGGGTATTTTTCGATTTCAATTTTTTTTTATCCCTCAGTAGCATCAAAGTAAATAATTAAAATAGCCTTCCAAGACGTCATAATTATTTGGACTAGCCTGATTGATGTTGATTCAAGAAAAAGGATTGGTCCAGCAACTCTAGACATACATGTATACATTTTCATTGTTGAAGGCTCATGGCTGTACGGTGACCTATCCTTGCTTATATTAGCTTCATTTGGATTTCCATTGGATACTTGTCTCATTAGCAATCTTGCCATGTCTCCTCTATCAGAACATGACGAACACACAAATTGGACAAATGTGAACAGTTTTCTTATGAAGATTTATATATGATATATATGTTATAGGATGTACAAATGATCAACATAGTTGAAAAAACTGTCATCATTAAAAAATACATAATTATTGTGATAATAACACATATATTTGTTTATTATAAAATAGTTAGCCTATTTATTTCTACATTTGTTGGTGACTTATGTCCCTTTTAATTGGGTGCTTATTTAGCTTGTAAAGATATCATTATGCACAGTTCAATTTTTTTTTTCCAGTCCTATAATCAAATTTCTGTTTTCACTTGAAAGGATATTTGTTCGTATATGTCAAGTTTTCGAGATTTTAGACACTTTGTCTCCTGAAAGCATATAAACTATTGATGCAGAGATGATAAGACATACATTTTGTACAATGTTTTATACACATGGATGGTACTGTTTCATGTATGACTAGTACTGATACATAAAAATCAACCAGGACGCAAACCTTGTGCTAGTAAGTGTGACGGGATGTAGAAGTTTACCAAGATTTGTCTATATTATAGTATATACATGATATATGTTATCTGCTCTAGATTATTTCACATGAGCATGATGAAGGAAACTTTAATAATGTAAAGTAAGTAAGCTATAATTGTTAATGAAAACAAGAACTTTTCCCTGAAATATTATGTCTGCTAATAAAAAAAATTATTTTGACATGTTTGATGTAAGATAATTATTTTTCTTTGTCATTTTTGTCTTGCTTGACGGAGTAAGTTAAAGATATTTGGTATGCAGTTGTATTAGTATTGGCACATCTCATTACCATGGAGATTATTTGGCCCCGCTCCCTCAGTTATGGTCTATTGACTTTGAAATTTTTGCTTAGTTTTCATGTATTAGTTTGTGATTAGGTCAGTTTAAGGGGAACCGTTAGTGGTAAGTTAATGATAATTGGTATGCAGTTGTATAAGCATTGGCATATCTCATTTCCATGGCGATTATTTGGCCCTGCCCCCTCAGTCATGGTCTATTGACTTTGAAACTTTTGCTTAGTTATTTATGTATTAGTTTGTGATTAGGTGTGTTTATGGGGAACCACTAGTGGTAGGTCAATGATATTTGGTATGCAGTTGTATTAGCATTGGTACATCTCATTACAATGGAGATTATTTCACCCCACCCCCTCAGTTATGGTTTATTGAATTTGAAATTTTGCTTAGTTTACATGTATTAGTTTGTGTTTAGGTTTGTTTAAATGGAACTACTTATGATAAGTCGATGGTATTTGGTATGCAGTTGTATTAGCACTGGCACATCTCATTTCCATGGAGATTGTTTGGCCATGTATCTTCAGTCATGATTCATTGACTTTGAATATTTTCAAAACTTACATGTAAAAGTGTTGCTATTTTAATTTCAACATTTGCATTATCAAAATAACCAAAAAGCGAGACATATCTCTGTGATAACAGTTTATTAACTCTTTTTACATACATGAGATACATGTATACATCGGCATATATTCATTCCATTTTTATAAACTCCACAATGAGACTGCATAGAGTTGTTGAATTTTTCCTTTTTTCCAGATGAAAATGATAATATACATTGTAAGATCAAGATTATTTCAGCAGTAAGACTTACATGAATGTGATGTAGAAAACAGTATTGTGAAATGAGAAAAAGACCTTGGATGATTCTTGATTTATTGCTAGGAGCAGAAGGATGTCTATTATAACACTACAGCTGGGACAATGTGGGAACCAGATCGGGGGTCAGATGTTCCAGTCTCTTATGGATGATGTTCATATGAAACCTATAAACACTTTGGTATGTCAATCATACAGTGTGCAGTTTATATACTTATGTAACTATTTTGCCTATAAGAGTCTTTATGATAAAGATGTCCAGGATTCTATGACACTCGCTTGGAAATTTTTTTCCAGGCAAATCACAAAATTTGTCTTTGTAATCAGGTAATGAGAACTCCAGTGAATTTTGATGTATGTTAGATTCGCCAGATTCAAAGTAATGGGTCCACACAGGACCACGCTAATGAATTTGATTCAAGAACCATGGAACTCATGTACTCATCTTACCTTGAACAAATCATCACGTTATCTTTGTTTAGTGAAGAAAAATATGTTTTGAAATAATATTCTTTTTTAAGAAAGGAATCTTTAGGTCTCTACTACATGCTTGCTACCTGACATCAGATATTTTCTCGTATATATTTGTTTATTGAAAAAAGTTTTTCTCATATTTTGCATTTATCAGCAAACTTGGTAGAGTTATAAATATGAAAATAAGAAGATGTGGTATGATTGCCAATGAAACAAGTCTCCACAAGAGACCAAATGACACAGAAATTGACTATTTACATACTAAATTCAGGATATGAAGTGAAATCCATATACATTGTACAATCATCAAATTCATCAATAGTGAAAAAGTGTCTTTAAAAAACATTAAAAAATCAAAGAAAAGGCGTTTTCATACAAGAGTTTGACTTCAGGTGGCTAAATCAGGATTCAAATGCTTGCAGTGAACAAAAGTAATTTGGGTAAATGTAGTTAATATAATACTACCATTGGTACTCAGAAAACAAGCACCTTTAACCTTATAACAAAGAAATCAGGAATATTTTTTTACATTTTCATTTGTTCATGTAGTTGTATACATAATTATATACAATGAAACAAATACACAATCAGAGAAAAATAATAAGTGATATACACACAAATCTTTTATTCATTAATTCAGCCATAAATATTTTCTCATGAAGTACACTTATATGAAATAATTATTTTTTTATTTTAGGTTCCACCAAACAGAAATGAGGAATACTTTAATGATGTTCTATCAACGTTTTTCTATCAAGATGGCCGATCAGAGAATCAGCTACCTAGAGCTCGAGCTGTAATGGTTGATATGGAGCCTAAGGTTGGTATTTTTTTCCCACTGACTGTGCAGGCTTTGGTATACTGTAAATTCAGAAATTATTGCGTGCATTTATTATTGCGATTTTGTCGTTTTAGACTAAAATGCGATTTTAATTTTTGCGATATTGAGAAAAATCCTGTTTAATTCATATAAAAAATTTCAAAATGCGAGTTTAAATTATTGCGATTATAACCCTGTCGCATTTTTCGCAATAATAAAAACATCGCAATAATTTCTAAATTTACAGTACTTTGAAAGTACTATTATTTTTTGGATTCCAGTTTACAGGAATAAAATCATTGGTTCTTTAAGTATTGAATTTCAGCTGTAAACTTTGCATGAAACAATCAATTTTAAAAAATGAAATTTTTAAGATATGAAAATTTATTAATTTAGAAATCGATTAATCTAGGTTAGTTATTACATGTCATCCTGTCTCCTTCTACAAACTTACATTGTACTTAGTGACATGAAATAAAAACAACCATTTATACATGTACCTTCCTTCCTTCCATTTATTAATGCAGTTTCATTCATTCATTCTTTCATTCATTTATTCATCAATGCAGTTTCTATTAATCATCATTTGCCCAATATAAAATTTAAAATAAAAAAAACAAAAAACAATTATTTGGTTTGTGCAACTTACTGGCACCATTTTAATAATAGAACTCACTATTCTAACAAAAACATTTATGTTGTACTTCTGCATTAAATTCTTGTTTATATTTGATATATGAACATGAATAATGACATGCAGATGATCTAGACGGATGAGTATCTTAACACTGATGTATTTGAACACACACTAAACAAATTTGCTTGGATGGAGTTTGATTCTCAGTCTCCAATTTCATATATCTAGTAATTGCCTGTTGTTTTGTGAAAAGGGGTGTATGTCCACATTTGTATCTCCACACTTGGAAAAAGGCCTGTCATATTAAACTTACCAATAGATAGTATTTTAACTTTAAAGAAATAAATAGTCAGTTTAACAGATTGTGATCTTAAGTGCTCTAACTCTACAGGTAACTTCTCATCTTGCATGCAGCACCACCTTTATTTTTAGTCAGAATATTTGAATATTAATATATCAGTTGAATTTCACAGGTTATTGCCCAGACATGTATGGACGCCAAAAAATCCGGAAAATGGCAGTATCCTGATAAACAGCAATTGAGTCAACAGCGTGGATCAGGGAACAACTGGGCACATGGTTTCTGTATTCATGGACCAAAAGCTAAAGACCAAGTCATTGAAATGGTCCAGAAAGAAGCAGAAAAATGTGATAATCTCGGTGGATTTTTGTCTTTAATGAGTCTGGCAGGAGGCACTGGGTCAGGTGTTGGTGCTTATATCACAGAATGTCTTCGTGATGAGTTTCCTCATGCATTCATTCTTAATCAAGTTGTGTGGCCATATAATACAGGGGAGGTAATCGTGCAGAATTACAATGCTATATTGACTTTATCCCATCTATACAGAACTGTGGATGCTGTTATTGTAATGCAGAATGACCATTTACATAAGATATGTTCTCAGTTGTTGAATATCAAGAAGATTTCATTCAAGGACATTAACAAGGTCATTTGTCATAAACTTTTGAGTATTTTGTCACCAGGAACATTACATAAATACCCAGGATTTACATGTTCTAATTCAATAGGTAATATGTTATATTTGAGCTGTATTTAGTTGTAAGAGACCTACATGTACCACAAAATAAGCAGTTTTTAAAGGTTTATACAGACAGGATGTATTGAAAAAGAGAAGATAGCATAGGGCATTATAGGGATAATCAAAAACCATAAGTCTAATAAAAACAGACACCATGGCAACAATGCTGAAAAGACAGTCCACAAAACACTTCACAGAAAATTAAGGTTGAGCAACAGTTACTCCACCAAAAAATGGGGGATGAACTCAGGTGCTCTAGAATGTTAAGCAGTTCCTGCGCTCCTTATGACATCCGTCATGTTACTCACTGCACATGTTGCAGGTAAGCATTTGGTAATAAGGGAATTTTGTGGTAAGAATTGAGAACTTAATTGATGAAAATACACAAATCTTAAAAAAATATTGACATTTTTTTATTATACAGGAGTTTATACATTTGTTATATGGAACAGTACATGTATAAATATTGACTTAATGGATTATGATTCCTAGTCTTAATAAATTTTGACAATATTTCCTTAATTCATTTCTCTACGCCACTGCCAGTCTGTCCATCATCACATTGTTGTTGCATCACTAACACCTTCATTTTTATAGGTGCAATAAGGCCCTTATTTGGCCCAAATTATACTGCAAAATTAAAAGTTATACATATTCTTAAATTTGTCCTAACTAGACTAAGGTACAAGGTTTTCAGAAAATTTAAAAAAAAAATTTCACATTAAACGAGCTACCATGGCAACAAACCATGACGAAATTTGTATATTTTGTAAAATTTCTTGGAATTTCCTTGTTTTTCATCAAATTCTAAGTATATTTTAGATTGGGAAAGTATGTGCACACCCAGGAAACAACTTTATATTTGGTTAGATTATGTAAATAGTTATAATAAAGCTTCTCTTAAATTATTTTGTTGTTTCTTGGCTGTGCACGATGTTTCCGTAATGGAAATAACAATGGAAAATTGCACACATTCTGTATTTTTCATCATTTTCATGAAAACGGTACAAATTATGACGTAATTGAGATGTCATCAGAAAAGCAATCTTATGTTTTTCATTTATATTTCTTCACTCTATGCATTTCCAAACATTATGTGCCAATTTGAAATAGTTGTCAAACATTTTATTTTCTTAGGCCAAAACCAGGCCTTAATGGCCCTACTCCTTTAAATGAAGATTTTAACTCATGAGATGCATTCAATAATCAGAAAATCTAAAATAGGGAACATCTTTTCAAAAGGCGACTTGTAAACATATCAGCATTTTTATCTTGTCGCTGGGATAGCCTCATAATTTTTTCTCAGATCCTCTTCAGATCTGAATGAATGGTTCCTTTCATCAATATCATGGAGGAGTATAATTATTAGATAAAGATAGAGAGGGACTTGTTCAAACATGTTCAAATATCACGAATATCCCATATTACTTCTGTCTGGGAATAGAACCTTCATCTCTTCAGATGAGTTAGACAATTTATAAATCTTACATGAGGAACCACAATTTCCCAAGGGGGATTGTCAAAATTTATCACTTAATATTTATTGTTTTAATAGTGCTTTAACTTCTAATAAACTATACCAGCAAGTCACTATAAGCTCTTTTCCTTATGTTGTGTGGTACATTTTGTGTATGAGATTGTTCACTGAATGTTCTTTCACTTTCCATTTATATTACATCTGTAATTGATCTTTCCCCTGCTATCTAAATGGCATCTCATTTACCTTTCAGGTGAGATAATGGAGCACATGGTTCCTATATCAGATTACAAATTGTTAACAATGAAGAACATTCCTCAGATGCCAGAATCATCTATACAGTTCAGTTCATTCCAATGGCATGGCTTACTGAAACATCTCAGACAGATGTTGATAGCTGATGCTGCCATGGAGGAAGGTAGGTCTATTAGTATATACATCAATACATCATCTATACAGTTCAGTTCATTCCAATGGCATGGCTTACTGAAACATCTCAGGCAGATGTTGATAGCTGATGCTGCCATGGAGGAAGGTAGGTCTACTAGTATATACATCAATACATGATCTATACAGTTCAGTTCATTCCAATGGCATGGCTTACTGAAACATCTCAGACAGATGTTGATAGCTGATGCTGCAATGGAAGAAGGTAGGCATAGATTAAAAGATGACCAATGCAGATTTAAGGGGGGGACCCAAAGGCCCAGGCACCCCCTTATGTAGTTACATATATGGTTAAAAATGCATAGACTTTTTACAAATCCATCTCCAAACATTGCCTTGAAAGCGGGCCCACCCTTTTTTTGAAGTCCTAGGTTTGCAAATATACATCAATATGTGATCTACAAAAAAATCAAAATGAGTTTACATGACTAGTGCAATGTATCAACTGCTCAAAGGATTTATTTTCATTAATTGAGATTTTTGACAAATTTTAGTGTTTTTGCCTTCCATCTTGAAAACTTGTATAAATATACAAAAAAAAGTTCGAGACAGCAACCCAAATGACAGAAATAGTCAAAAGATATGGATTTGTTAACATACAGTCTTCAACAATAGACAGGATGATATACATTTATGTCAAGGTCTTAATCGTCCTGAGTTTAAACAAATTTAGAAAAATTAAGCACAGAACACAACAACACTAAATTCTCCAGCAGTGTTCCAGCTAGCATGAAATGGAGGGGCGCCGCACCCCGCCCCCGAAATTTTGCGCCCCTCTGCCTTTTTTAAGCGCCCCTCTGCCCTTCTGCCCTTCTGCTGCGCCCCTCTGTGCCCTTTTGAAAAAAGTTTAAAAAAGATCTTTTTTCCTCATATCGTCGCCATTTTGTTGAGTTCTTTATACACACACTTCATTAAGACAACAGATTAAAATTGTTGACACTTGTTACCTGTATATAATCACCTATTTGATTAGAGTCAATTACTTAATCAGGTGAAATTTACGACCCTGTCTAATCCCTTTGCCCTGAAGCACCAAACATACAAGTTAAATGAATTGATTTTTTAACACCTGACGATGCAAAATAGAATTTATAAAATAAATGTGAACGATGTTCATTTCTATTGTATTTGTTATTTATAAAATAACGTTAATTAAAAAAGAATCATTCCAATAGTATATTGTAAATCGTCAACACGCAAAATGCCGACGAAAAAAAGAAAAATTGAACAACTCGAAAATGACAAGAAGAAAATATCAAAGACTTGCCAGTCTATTACATCTTTTTTCAAGAATAATGACCATCAAAGGTAAAAAAATAATTCAATTCTTTACTTTTATGAAAAATCATGAAGAAGAAAGGTTTCTATCAGATATCGCAATTGTTCTTCTATTGTAAATTCCGCCGATTACGGAGCACTCGAAAGTCCGATTTTTATATCATTTTTCTTAAATTGAAATCCGTTTTGACTAACTTTAATATTGATATTATTAGATACGCTCAACATGAAATATACGGAGATGCTTGTTGAATTGATAATAAACTTTCAAAGTTGAAATAATTTATTATTGTGCCGATTACGGAGCTCTCGAAAGTCCGATTTTTGTATCAATTTTCTTTTTGAAATCCGTTTTGACAAACTTATTGATATTATTAGATACGCTCAACATGAAATATATGGAGATGCTTGTTGAATTAAAAAACTTATTTGTTGAATTAATCTATTTCTCAAGATCGAAATAAAGACAATTGTCTAATTGGCATTCTTATTTAAATTCACAACCACACCTACACAATTTTCAATGTAAAGTTTACCCCACTCTCCCTATCTTCTTTCAGTAATGATGGAAATGAGACCCCTGAAATTGTAATTGAGACAGCCAAAACTCCTATACAACCACAAATACAAGCAAATAAAGCAGCTCAAGAAAATCCTAACCCTACACTTCCTTCCTCCACACGAACAAGAAATCCTAGTGGGAAACACAAAGTTGGTATAAATAATAATTGGTTGAAACAGTATTCCTGGTTATATTTTTACAAAGACTTTAGTGAGGATGGAACATTAGTTGATGTCATGCTTTGCAAAATTTGTTCAATGGCAGAACTTTATAGCTCTTGTGTCATCAGCAGAACTTACAGATCGTTCCTTACCTAGTCTGCTAGAGCTATTTCATTCACCTTGTCATAAGGATAAAAACCTATTATCTATGTACCCTCTTGTTGCAAAACTATTCAGTGTTGCAATAATACAACCATTCAGTACAGCAGAGGTGGAGAGAATATTCTCTCAGGTCAAATTGATAAAGACAAGTCACAGGGCAAACTTGAAAACACAGACATTAACAAAAATATTAACTGTAAAATTAAACTGTGATGAAACTAAATTTGAAAAAATTCTTGATCAATGTGTGACAACCTTCTTCAAAAAGAAAAACAGAAGACTTGTCAATGTTGTTTAATATTTATTTGCATTTGAACTCTTCTTTGAAAAAATCTGTAGTTCTGAAAGAGAAATGAATATAGTAATGACTATTAGTGCTCTCAGTTTGATTTTAACTTATATGTTCTAAATAAATGATTTTTAAACTTGTATATAATAGTATAGAGTATTTAACTTAGCTACATGCTTGCTAAAAATATGTCATTATGTGGTAATATTAAGTATTTGATTTTTTTCAGTGAGAACGCGCTAAAGTGCCCTTTTTTAAAAACGCGCCCCTCTATTTTCAAATCCTAGCTGGAACACTGTCCAGTTAACAAAATATATTGAGATATGTCATAACTACTAACAATGTTCTTGATTTGGGACAATCACATTTTAAAGTTTTTAAGTTAAGGAAATGGCAATATTGAGTCTCAAATTGTTATAATAAAGGTGATAAGATTGAATAATCTGTACATAGTGGTAGGCTACAACTGCGTGGGTTGTGTGACGACCTTGTCTACCCATAAGGGTCTTGCATGTAGTGGCAGAGGTTACCATCTATATTTATGTCTTTGCAAATGAAACCTCTATGAAATATTCAAAAAGCTGTAGTTTTAACTTTGCACTACAATGGATTAAATCATCAATTTACATGTGATATTTTTTGCATGTATTTTGTAGGAATTGATTGGCAGGTCAAGGTCGGTGATGAAACACCAAGAGGTGGAGCCAAACACAACCAGTCACTTGCTAATTTTCTAATGCTGCGTGGAAAAGATGTAAACACAGCTGACACCACTGCCTTTGAAGATTCAATGTTATATGCTCCTTGGGTTCCACCAGGGGGCGCTTTATTAAAAGGAACACAACCAAGAGTGTTTAATCAGTATGAGAAATCGGCTTGTTTATTGTCCAATAGTAAATCACCGATCATACAAATGGATTACACAGTGGGAAAAGCTTGGAATATGTTTTCTTCAAGGGGATACGTACATCAATATAATAAACATGGACTTGTAGATGAAGATTTTGTAGATAGTTTTGTAACTTTAGAACAAGTTATTGCCAATTATAAAAATTTGTAATAGTCTGTTTATCTAGATAAACTATTTTCATAATTATCTTGTGCAGCAGTTTATTTGAAAGTAGTATTTATACTTAGATTCTTTCTCTGCAAAGTCCTAGATCCAACATTTTTTCTATTTTATATAACCACCTTGTTTATCTCTAGCTCCTGTATAGGATCCTGTATGTTAATTTTGACAGGGTCAAACCAGAGATTTAAAATTGGTATTTCCTGCTTTTCTGCTAGCACTTGGCATTTAGAAGCAAATACTGGTTGGCTTGGAGTTAGAATTATGTTTCCAGGTAGTCCAATGTATCTTCAATTGTGCTATAAAAACGAAGGGGATGTGGTATGACTACCAATGAGATAATTATCCATCAGAGACTAAAGAATGTGGATGTATTCCAATATACCAGAGGAATATACTCTTTAATATATTCCAGTAGCAGTGCAAGTTTCTACCTTCATCTAAGTTGATCTATGTTGCAAAATTTACCTATTTTATTGATTGTTTATTTGTTTATTATTAATATGGATAGAAACTATTTGCCAATGGACATTTATCAAGCAACAATCAATTAATCAATAGGGCATTTAATATGAAAAATCCAGGGACATCTTTTACTGTATAAAACTCCAATTTTCATATATATAAATGAATGGATATGTTGGATATACTTCAATGAAAGAGCAACGTAATGATTGAAAAAGTCAAATAACATCTAAAGGGTCAACAAATCAACCAGCAATAGACAGGTGTCTATACAATAGGTCAAATTCTAAATCCACCAATCAAATTTTTATTTGACTGAAATGTGTTTATTCCAAAGAGTTTACATTTAAGATAGACATCAGCTTTATTTTGACACTCATCAAATAATGCCTACATACATGACATATGTTAGAGTATAGGTGTTCTTCCTAGGCCTTTTGCCATGCCTTTTGTCATCACGGTAATGTGAAGTTATATTGCTTGAAAGGTATGCTATCTGAAAGTTTCTCAAATTTTCTGTTTACCAAGATGTTTAAATATGACATTTGTTGGGAGAACACTAATTAATCGGTACATTACATGTAAAATTTGGAAGCTTTTTAACTTTTTTTTTTATAATTTATTGCCTGTCAGAGGACTTTTAAAATATGATAATAAAAACTACAATCAACAGACAATCACCAAGCATAATCATGTTGACCATTGTTGGAAAACTTGACCTTTGAAAAATAAAGTGAAAATGGACAATTTAAAGGTACAAATGATTTATAAATTTGGAGGGATTGTTATATATATTTATGATTACAACCTATTTATACAGGGAGACAAATGACTTAGCTATTAGTTATTAAACCAATCATGTCATGGGATGATTTCTAACATAGGAGTTACTGTGGTATCTGCTGCTAGCGATAGAGCTCCACATCACATGGGAAAAAATTTTGTACTATAGAGAGACTAGAAAAAAGCTGTGGTATCCATAGAAAGTATGAGATACAAAAGCAAATGGTACAATATAAAAAGGGTACATGTTGAACTGTAAAAGAAATAGATTGTTAATCATTGCAGTAGTATACCATTAGAAATTATTTCCATTCTGTGACTTAAACAATAAGGGGGAAATACACCTTGAACATAGGGAATTCTTTTACTGCTTCCATAGAGCATAAGAGAAAACTCATTTTATCTCAACCTAGTAGTATATTTTCCAAAAACTTGTGTTCTTATTTTCTACAGGATCTTTTCACATTCATTTGGGCAACATAATTGTTTTGGTTGCAGGTTAAATTTCTGAAATAGTCCAGTTAAAATAGCACAGATTATAAATTTAGTATAAGTAGAACAATCAGTCAGTCTTAGATGGAATAAATTTTAACTTACCATAAATGGTCTCATGGACTTCATTGTCATTGTTTTGAAACATATAGATACACCTACATGTAAAAATGATTATTTTTACTTTCAGATATAAAGCAGTTAAGCATAGAAACCAGAGCAAAACATATTTTCTGTTAAATTAGATGAAATATTTGGTTGTCAATGGTGATGACCTTGGTTACAGTGTACCTAGAAATGAAGGAATTGTAAGATGTTTTACTGAAGGCATTGTCACTAGTACATCTATATTAATTAATGGTGAAGCAGTTCAGCATGCAGTTGATCTAGTCCAAAAATATGGTATCCCTGCAGGTAAGAATCACTGATCAAGAGGCAACTTTATGGGGACCAAGTGAGGTATATCTTGTTTCATTATTTCAGACCACATTCTCTCAAAACAATATGGGTTTGTATAGTTGTCACTTTATGATGATTCAATTTGACAGAACCAGATATTAAGAAAGTACTTTTTTTGTAGATCAAATATTAGAGCTATTGATTTTAACAAAGGCAAAAATTAAAACTAAAAAATATTGAAATAACACGGTTTGAATGTACCCTTACATCAAAGATGTTTTAAACAATTGTGGCTACATTAATGGTCATTAAATTGTCATTTAATTCTAAGTTTTAAATTGAACAAAATCAAACAAATATTATTTTTTTATTGCTAGGATTACATTTGAACTTATCAGAAGGGATACCTCTTACACAAGCTACCTCACTACTAGGAGAAGATGGATGTATGTTGGGGAAGCTTGGAATCAGAGAACAACACAAACTAGGAAACATTGATTACAAACAGGTTGTAAACTCGTGTAGCAGAACATTAGGAATAGGATTAATCTTGTAGATAAAATCATCAGTGGTATTTCAATGTGTAACATACTAGCCATGCATATTAAGAACCACAAAACTATCTATGTATACATATTGTGAACCTTATCACTAGCCATGTATACATGTTGTGAACCCCAATAACTAGTCATGTATATGTTGTAAACCCCAAAACAGCAAAACTAGGCATGTATACATGTTGTGAACATGATAACTAGTCATGTGTATGTTGTGAACCTCAAAACAGCAAAACTAGCCATGTATACATGTTGTGAACCCCATAACTAGTCATGTGTATGTTGTGAACCCCAAAACAGCAAAACTAGCCATGTATACATGTTGTGAACCTCATAACTAGTCATGTATACATGTTATGAACCCCATAACTAGTCATGTATATGTTGTGAACCCCAAAACAGCAAAACTAGCCATGTATACATGTTGTGAACCCCAAAACAGCATAACTAGCCATGTATACATGTTGTGAACCTCATAACTAGCCATGTATACATGTTTGAACATCATAACTAGCCATGTATAAATGTTATGAACCCCAAAACTAGCCATGTATACATGTTGTGAACCACTATGCAGGAGGCTCCAAACCATTTCCATACATCAATTTGAAACCATTCAACCAATCATTTGCTATCATGATTTTGTTTCATGTAGGAAACGTTAGGGTCAATTTCATTTTTGAAAGATTTTCAATCATTCCATTCAGGAGTCATGGTCCTTGATTGGTTGTAGAATTCAGCCTTATGTTTTTTTCTGTGTGATAACTTCAGAACTATTCATTCAATTCTTTTCAAATTTTGATATTTTATCTGATGAAAAAAGGGAGGTCAAGTTTGATTTTTTTAATAAAGATTGAATTCGTGCAATTAAAACCCTGATGCGGCGGACTTGATAGTTATCAATTTTCCAAACCTTCACTACTTTTGAGAACAACGTTCTACACATCCTTTGTATGATGGCATTTATCAATGAAATGTATACTCAGATAGTCACAAACTGATCTGTATGTGTATAACCATTCTTGTCAAGAAAATTAGATAAATTGTGCATGGTGCATGAATCTAGTATCTGTTCCAAAAATATCAATGCTGTTATTGTTAAAGTAATATTTAAATTGGAGTTATCTTCCTTTGTCCATAATGGTAGCTTCGATGCTTTATGCATGATTAGTGCCCATTGAAGAATGCAATCTTTACCATTCAGTTCTCATAAGCACTTTCATTGGCATTTCAACTTATACTGTTCAAGAGTTATGACTTTTAATTGCTTTAACAATAACACCGATATTAAATGCAAAACACAACGTTCTGTCATATTAATAGCCTTTTGTTTCAATTTGTGGTTTCAGACTAAGCATGTAAAACATAGAGGGAAAATATTTCCTGTATTGTATACCATGTTTATTAAGAATTATTTTATTTAAACAAAGTAGTTGCTTAAGAAGAATACTTCTTTTATAGCTAGTTAGTAACCTGAAGTTATGTTTTAAGGTTCAATTCAACCAAATGTATTGGCTTTAGATTTTATTTGAGTTTTTTTTAGTATTTGCCTTCGATTATTTTAGATACTGCAGAAATTAAACAGAATTAGTAAGTGCTAATTTGTTTTGTTTGGAATTTATTATTTTGAGTATGGTTTACCATGATTATAAGATTTATCTGCAGATGTTAATGTCTTGTTTAACCTTGACCCCTATTGTCCATGCTATATATGCCTTGATTTGAAAAATTTACCCTAGTTGAACAATATTTTTAATTTTTGATTTTTTTGATTTTTTTTTGGCTTTCTCCATTTATCAATTATTCAATTTTAATAGGCTTTTTCCATGTGCTTTTATTTCAATATATATTTTTAGTAGTGAACTTTGTATTGAACTATATACTTATTACCACTGTTTTTGTAAAGAAACATACATGGAAATAAAACATTTAAAAAAGCAAGAAAATGTTATATTGATGAAAAAAATGCTTCAGCATTTCCTTGAAAAAAACCAACACCAGGTTATAATGATTTTGATGATTTTTCTCTTAGTCGGTTGTTTTTTACGAGGGGTAATTGTTATTGGCTTTCCATTTTACTTTTAGAATATAACTACCATTGGCTGTTTATAAAGTTTATGATGGCTAGAAAAGGTGACTTCTTTTTCCAAACTATCTAAAATGAATAAAAAATAAATCTAAATCTGGGAAGGATTTTAACACAGTTTGCCCCAATCTTTTTTGTAATTGTTATTGACACTTAGGTTTAAAGGTTTGATCAAAGAATAAAATGGACAGAAATTATAATCCTTTAAATTTTTTTATATATCGTACATTTCAATTGGGTATATTTTACAGATTGTATTTTAGCATGTTTGTTAAGTAATCAAGTGTGATGCTTATTATACCCTACGCTTAGAAGAATAATCCAGCTTGTTTTGTCTATCTAATGCAAAGCAGGATTCATATCCAGTCAACATGGTCTCATCCTTGTATGCATGTAATATGTGCCAGTGGACATTTAACACCAATCCATCATAATCATGATCATACTTAATTTTCACAATAAAATACAGGCAAGCATGAAATGAAATGCTTTATTTTATTTTCAGAGCAAATCGATATAAGGCATGCACACTACAAATAATTTTCAATATACATATATATTTGTATATTTGTATTTCGTTCATTGTTTTTTACATAAATCAGGCCATTAGTTTTCTCGTTTGAATTGTTTTACATTTCATTTTGGGGCCTTTGATAGCTGACTATGCGGTATGGGTTTTGTTCATTGTTGAAGGCCTTTACAGTGACCTATAGTTGTTAACTTCTACGTCATTTGGTCTCTGGTGGAGAGTTGTCTCATTGGCAGTTATACCACATCTTCTTATTTTTATATTGTAGTTTGTCATTAACTTTTGTAGAAATATAACCTACTTGAAAAAAGGGAATATTTTAATTGGATGCTATCTTAAAATTAAACATTTGATCCACACCTGAATTTGTCATAGATATGAACTTCTTTTTAGGTTGATGAAGAGATGCAGGCCCAGATAGACAAGTTTGAACTTTTAATGGGTGTCAAACCTTTCCATGTAGATGGCCACCAACATGTCCATTTGTTATCAGGTACTTATACTATTTACATTAACCCAATGGAGGCTAAAGGACTTTTTCCTCACTAGGTAAACATAAGTCAATGATATTGCATATGCAGTTATCTTTCTATGTTGTGATGTTACACTATTGTTTTTATACGCCCGTTTACGGGACGTATTATGGTATACCGTTGTCTGTCCGTCCGTCTGTCCGTCCGTTGTCAACATGTCAGACATTAACTCAAAAACGCTTTAACCTATTTGCATAAAACTTTGGTGAATTTTTTATATCTATTGACGTGAGATCCATTTCGTTTTTTATAAATTTTAGATTTTACATTTCCGAGTTATGAGGTTTTATTCAATAAAAAAAGGGGGATTTTCCAGTTTTCAGACAATAACTCAAGAATGCTTTCACCAACTTGCAAGAAATTGTGGTGAATTGTTTATATCTATTGACATGAGCTCCCTTTTGATTTTTATAAATTTTAGATTTTACGTTTCTGAGTTACAGGGTTTTATTAAAAAAAAGGGGGGATTTTCCAGTTTTCGGACCAAAAACTCAAAAATGCTTTCAGCAGTTCTTATGAAACTTTGGTGAATTGTTTATATCTATTGGTGTAAGCTCCCTTTAGAGTTTTATAAATTTTACATTTTACATTTCTGAGTTATGGGGTTTTATTCATTAAAAAAGGGGGATTTTCCAGTTTTCGGACAATAACTCAAAAATACTGTCAGCAATTCTCATGAAACTTTGGTGAATTGTTTATATCTATTGATGTAAGCTCCCTTTTGATTTTCATAAATTTCTAATATGATATTGAGAATTAATTGAACTTTATTTGTTTATAGTCTGACAACAGATTTACTAAGTATTGCATGACAGCACAGTGTTTTGCACAACAGCAAGAAATCTTTAATTGAATATAAATTCAATTCATATAACCAATTTCAATTTCTTTGACTACATTTATTCAGAAACCTGTAATATGTCAAATATTTAATAACAATCCAAATTCAGACCAGTATCAAGCTTGAATATTGTGTCCATTTTTGCCCCAACTGTTCAGGGTTGGACCTCTGCGGGCGTATCCAGCTGCGCTCAGCGAAGCAGTTTATTTTTTTATAGATTAGACCGTTGGTTTTCCTGTTTGAATGGTTTTACACCATTCATCTTTGGGGCCCTTTATAGCTTACTGTTCGGTGTGAGCCAAGGCTCCGTGTTGAAGGCCGTACTTTGACCTATAATTGTTTACTTTTACAAATTGTGTGACTTGGATTTAGAGTTGTCTCATTGGCACTCATACCACATCTTCTTATATCTATATATAAGCATTGGAACATCTGAATTTCATATAAATTATTTGTCCCTGCCCTTCAGTTATTGAGTTTGAGAACTTTTTGATAGTGTACATGTAAAAGTTTGTAATTAGGTCAAATCATATACTTACATATCATAGTTATGATGAGGAATAGGTGATAAATTGTTTATAATTACTCTAAAGGGGTCGATACAGCCTCAGTTTCAGAAAACACAAACTCATTTTGCCATTTAAATTTCAGTCTTCGCATTATACTATTTGAGTTATACAGTCGAGACATATATGTTTGTCAACATTTTATTAAAAACAAGTTTGTCAAATCTTTTGTTCATAATTTGATTTTAGGAATTAGTGAAGTATTTTGTGATGTGTTAACAAGGAATGGTATCTATGTAACTAGGTTACCGATAGAGGATATCAGTGAGACAGATCTACCAAACAAAGACTTCCTACAGACAGTTATCAATGATTCACACTCTGCCAAACAAGTCTTTGACAGATCTGGTATTAGGTAACAAAAAATTAATATTGATCCAAAAAAAGGAATATAAAACATTTCTTCTTACAGTGAATTCATGAATAATAGTTGCTTTGTCCAGGCTTACACAAAACTACACATGAACCACAACCATTCAAATGCTTGTCCAGACTAACACAAAACTACACATAAATCACAACCATTCAAATGCTTGTCCATGCTAACACAGCACTACACATAAATCACAACCATTCAAATGCTTGCCCAGGCTTACACAGAACTACACATGAATCACAACCATTCAAATGCTTGCCCAGGCTTACACAGAACTACACATGAATCACAACCATTCAAATGCAAGTGTGAAGAGATCTATACTTTTAAACAAAATCTGCATGGCTAGACTTTTCTGTGTTTTTGTTTTTTTAAAGGAACGTTGACTTATACATGATACATATTTCATTTTTACAGCCAATTTCCCTGTTTTATAGGAGTTTCCTCCATGAGAGGTGTTGAATTGACTTGAAATCATCTTTATATTACTGAATACCTTCAAACTGAAACTAAGACGAGTTAAATGACATTTCAGCACATAAATACTTATTTTAAACCAAAGATAATAAGATTAAAACAATTATGATGTGTAAGAGATGTAGTAGGTTATCTTGTTCTTCAGTCTCATAGTGATTTTTTGTTGTCTGTTATGATTTGTACGGCATCATATTAAAGCATACCTAATTGGTTTTAATTTGTATTTCACACGCCAATAAGTATATTAATTATTTGCATATTTGGTATATGTTGTGTTAATTAAGTTCTGCATAGCCCTAAATCAATTGTTTTGTCAATTATAATACATTTTTGTAGGTATGCAGATAGATTTATTGGTCTGGACTCATTTGAAACATCTGTGGATTCCATCATACAGAAATTGGCAGACATGTTGAATGGTGGTAACCATGGAGACACTTTCTGTGAGTTCATGGTGCATCCTGGGTATAGAACAGAACAGGAAGGAGGATGTGGTTGTGGTCCTGATGATTTCTCTCAGTCACATTATCGAGAAAATGAATTAAATATCTTGTGTGATACAAAACTAAAAAATTTCATTGATAAATCAAAATTCAAATTAGTAAATTATGAAACTTTGTTTTTAACAGAAGCATTTTGTATACGAAAATGACTTTAGGATTTTTATTTTCAATTGTTAGGATGTTTTAAGTTAACATTTCAGATTATTTATTCAATATATTTCTGTGATATGTAAGCAAATCAAATTAGTTTTTAAAACAGTTGGTTAACGAAGATAAATGTATAAATGAGCAGCTTCACATCTTAAATGGGCATTGCTGTCAAATTCATGTTCACCGATTTGACTCAAATTCTCATATTTGATTAATAACATACTAAAACGTATATCCAAATAATAAAAAGTTTAAAATAAACAATTTACGATGCACGGACTAGGTATTATGTATCAGCATTTCGTGTGTATTTTAGTTTAGATGCCATCTAATTAACCATTGAGGTGACCTTCGAAGACTTCCGATGATCATATAGCCCGATATAATCATAAACATAGTCTTTTTTACCTGTATAAGAATGATTTTTTGTAGATAGAATCAGTCAACCAAATGGTTTACCCTTGTTTCATTTCCAATGTTGACATTCTTTTCTTTTTAATAGCTGAACATACCTAGTTATGCGTTCAATTGAAGTTCACATGAATACAGATTTAATGAGGTCAAAATCTTCACTTGCAAGTGAATAATTCAGTAGCGATATCACTTTGCTTATTGTCTCGCCTTGACGGAGTCAAAAAGCGAGACATAGGTATGCTGTTTCTGGTGTTGTCGGTGGCGGCGGCATCAACAATGTATTAGTTTGTGATAAGTTCTAGTTTATGGTGAACCACAAGTGGAAGGTCAATTTTATTTGGTATGCAGTTGTATTAGCATTGGCACATCTCATTTCCATGGAGATTATTTGGCCCTGCCCCCTCAGTCATGGTCTATTGACTTTGAAACTTTTACATAGTTTACAAGTTAATGTTTGTGTTTAAGTTTGTTTAAAGAAAACTACTTGTAATAAGTCAATGGTATTTGGTATGCAGTTGTATTAGCATTGGCACATATGATCTCATTTCCATGGAGATTGTTTAGCCGTGCACCTTCAGTCTTGGTTCATCGACTTTGAATATTTGCTGAATATTTGCATAACTTACATGTTAAAGTATTGCTATTTTAATTTCAACATTTGCATTATCAAAATTACAAAAAGGTGAGACATATCTCTGTGATAACAGTTTATTTTTACAAAACTGAACCAAACTGGCTGCTAAAAGCGAATTATTATATCACTATTTCACTTTCATTAATGATTGACAAAAAAAAATATCATATTTTATTAAGTCTCCCAAACGAAGTTTGGGAAGACTTATTGGTTTTGCTCAGTTCTTCTTCTTCTTCTTCCATGGAACTTGTCTGCATCTGTTCTCCAAAACCGCTGATCACATTAACTTAAGAGTTTCACAATATGTTAGACTAACATGTCTAGTGGTGCAATCAGGGTTTTGTTTGTGCAATGGGGTTTATAAAGGGGTACTTTGAGGGACAAAAAGGAAGGAGGGGTTTACTATAGAACCCTATGGGATTTTATTTTTTTTTAATTTTCAAATGATTATAACTTGAAAACAGTTAGTGATAGACACAATCTTTATTATTGAAAATGTTCTAAATGATTAAGCACATTAAATGAAATAAAAGGTTAGTCCCAAGGGGTTACCCCCACCCCCTGCCATTAGAGAAAGTTTTAATATCTTGGAAGTGGTCAAGATCCCCACCCCTAAACCATATATATTTTGGTTTGTCATGATAAAGCACATCAAATGAAATACAGGGTTAGTCCCCAGGGGTCAACCCACCCCCTGCCATTTGAGAAAGTTCTAATATCTTGTACATGGTCAAGATCTCCACTCCTAAACCATATATATTCTGGTTTGTCATGCCAAGATGATTTGAATGATAAACAGGGTCAGTCCCCAGGGGTTGTCCCAACCCCCTGCCATTTGAGAAAGTTATAATATCTTGTAAGTGGTCAGGATCCCCACCCCTAAACCATATCTATGCTGGTTTGTCATGCCAAGATGATTTGAATGATTAACAGGGTTAGTCCCCAGGGGTCGTCCTGACCCCATGCCATTTGAAAAAGTTCTAATATCTTGTAAGTTGTCAGGATCCCCACCCCTAACCCATATATATGCTGGTTTGTCATGCCAAGATGATATAAATGATAAACATGGTAAGACCCAAGGGGTCATCCCCACCCTCTATCATTTGAATATGTTCCAAATATCTTGTTAATGGTCGAGATCCCCACCCTAAACCATATATATTCCTATTTGTCATGTCATGAAGATTTGAATGATATATAGGAAAGGTCCCCTGGGGTTTCCCCCTTCCCGAATGTTACAATATCTTTTAAATGGTTGAGATCATAAACCATATATATTCCTGTTTGTCATGTTCCAAAGATTTGAATAATATATATGGTCAGTCCCCAGGGGTTCTCCCCACTCCAGATGTTCTTATATCTTGCAAATGGTCGAGATCCCCACCCCTAAACCATATATATTCCTGATCGTCAGATTTGAATGATATATAGGGTCAGTCCCCAGGGGTTCCCCCACCCAAATGTTCTAATATCTTGTAAATGGTCGAGATCCTCACCCCTAAACCATATATATTCCTGTTCGTCATTTCATATAGATTTGAAAGACATGCAGGGTCAGTCCCTAGGCGTCACTAATGCATATCACTTTACTAGACCAAAATAATTTGTACTGGACTTTGCTCAATGTCAGGCGACCATAGGAATGACGAATTATGGGTTCTTCGTTTGGAGACTTCGTAATAGCATCCTGTTACAATCATTTCTTGTTTTTTTATATATCTTGTAGCTAATGCCCCTTTTAAGCAGTATATTCAAAGTTCTAAAGGCTGTGTGTGTATTTAGAACTTTCATAGAGTGAAAGTCAAAGTCCTTTACTGTAAATTTCTTTTTCTGAAAGTTGAACAACAGTTATTTTATATATATGAATTGATTTTTGGTATGGTTCATGTCTTTTCATTTTTATAGTACTTTGAAAGGGCTTTAATTCATTTTGAATTTATAAAAAACTAAATGTATGCTATCATATTTATCTTAAAAAAAAGGAAAAATATTTTTATGATATAGTGCTCCATGTTTTATTTTTCAGTTTTCATTCATGCAATATTTCTGATTTTTTTTTACAGCAAAGCATTTATTTGTGCAGCATACTTCTAGTGAATTTTTCATGATACATTTGAAAGTCATTAAAGTTGGACTAATATGTTAGAAATATAACTAAAAAAATTATAGTTCTGCTAAGTATGTTTACCTATGAAAGTAAACAAATTATGAACTTTTTTACTTGGATTGCAAGAAGAGTTGCTTTTCTATTGTTTTCAAACCACTAGTTATTCCATCGGATGGGGAAATATAAAAATTTTAACATTGGGTTAACAGTTATCTCCCTTGAAGTTGTATTGACTCCCCTTAAAACTGTATTGGAATGGAAACCAATGTTGAAATAAGGCAAACCTTTCACTGATACAAAGTTAAATATGATTAACATGATACATTTCTGTGTCCTTATGCTATTGTACAATACACTTGAATAACAATTTTATTTTGCTAAACATAAATATATTTGAAAAGAAGACATTAAACTTTGATAGGATTTGCGTCTATTTTCTAGTCTTGCTGCTCTGTTTAACAAAACTGCTGTGTTTTTTTTTTATGTCTTTACAATTTAGCAAAAAACTACAGATGATTTGTATGTATTTCTTTTGAAATAAATCCTATTGTTTATTGTTTTATACGTTTGTGTTATGTGCCCGACATTCAAACAAACACTAACCTTCAGAATAACGTTACCATGCTTTATATCAATCACACAAGAGTTTTATACAGGTATCAATTAGAAAAATGTATATTCATTGTATTTTTTGTTAGAAAGGATACTAATGATCACCAAATGCATTTGTATGTCTTATACTAAATCTGTTGGATGTGTTCTGATTGATAAATATTGTAATTTAGGAAAATGTGATTTATATATTTAGTTGGTTGTAATTGGCTTTGAATAAGCTTTCAGTAAAGGTGAATACTCTTAAAGCAATACTTTGTGAATTTGTTCTTTTTTTGCTTTATGCCAATCTGATGAGTTAAGCCCTCTAAAACTGATTTTTACAGTTTGTTCTTATGTTGTGCTGTAACACTACTGTACCAGGTTGAATGGCGGATTGAGTGCTCACAAACACATACTGTATGTACCTGTCCTATCAGGAGCCTGTAATTCAGTGGTTGTCATTTGTCGCTGTATATCATATTTTTTTTGCTTGTAATTTACATAAAACAGGTTATTAGTTTTCTAGTTTGAAATGTTTTACATGTGTCATGTAGGGGCATTTATAGCTTTCTGCGATGAATGGGTTTTGCTCATTGTTGAAGGCTGTACATTTACCTATAGTTTCTAGCTGATCTCGTTAAACAAAAGGCATCTTGAGGTCATCATAGAGTCTTCAACAATGGACTGATGTCCCATTTTTTGGGTAATGCAAGAGATATGCTGCTGAATTTTACAGCAACCCTATGAAGTTAATTTTGGAACTCAGTAAAAAGGTATTAGGATTAATAAATTGTTGTTGTAGTTGTGGACAACACAGCATTTATCCCATTAAAGTTCCATATTTCATGTATAGGATTTCTGGGTCTGGGAACACCTCATCATTTAAGATGGTTTTATAGTCCCGGCTGCAAGACGTAGGAATGCTATTCTAGTGTAAGTTGCTATGGTGTAAACTATTTGTGTAAATCTTTATATTTCAAACAGTAGAAGACCTGGATTCTTTATACTTTTATTTATAGAGATGATTTATGTTCCAAAGTTTCTCTCTGCCCTATTTCCTTTGTCCTTTACCTCATTTTCATGGTTCATTTTAAACCGATATAAAAATAAGAAGATGAGGTATTATTGTCAATAAGACAACTCTCCACCAGAGACCAAATGACATAGAAGTTAACAACTATAGGTCACCATATAGCCTTCAACAATGAGCAAAACCCATACTGCATAGTCAGCTATAAAAGGCCCAGAAATGACTAATGTAAAACAATTCTAACGAGAAAACTAACTGCCTGATTTATTTACAAAACAACAACCTTATCATAAACTTTAACATTTAAACTGCAGAAGTTTCAAAGGCAATAGACCATGATTTAGGGGGATGAGCCAAATTATCTCCATATATATGAGATGTTCTAATGCTGATTCAACTGCATACCAAATATTATTCTCTTACCATTTGTGTTCCCCATAAACTGACCTAATCACAAACATAAAAGAATTGTTGACTTTGCAGCCATTAAAGCAGAACATTATGACTATTATGAGTAAAGGATAACCATATGTAGTAACTGGGATCCTTGCAAGCTCTACATGTCTGTCAGACAGGTGTTCCTCACCTTAACATCATTTCATGGAGCAGTCATCAAAGTTGAGTTTTCGTGGTCAACCTTATCTCATTTTTTATAAACAATAGCTTAAATATATTTGGTGTATGTAAAGATTGTAAGGTTTACATGTTGGTCTGATCTTGACCTCATTTTCATGGTTCATTGGTAGGTGCTAATTTTTCATGGTCTAGTCCTTTCTCCGCTAACATTAGTAATATGCCAATTCTATTTGATGATTGTATACTATAGTGTACAGGACTGAACTGACCTTGACCTCATTTAGATGCTCTTGTAATTAATTTGAAAGTACCTGTTTTCATGATTGTCAATTTTTAAGGTTCTGATGAAACTTTTGAAATCAGTTAAAGTTGTAAATGTCTGTCATTTGATCCCCGGTGGAGATTTGTCTCATTGGCAATCATACCACATCTTCTAATTTTTATATATAAAGCACTTGTAATTTTTTTTTGGTTTGATTTCTAGTTTTCTGTTGTTTTTTCTTTTTGTTCTTATTGTTTTTAGATTCATTTGTAACTGTTATCTGGGGCTCTTGTTTTCAGATTTACCAAATTACTGAAATGTTTTGTAAATAATGAAATTCAACAAAATACCTTCTCCCGTTCCCAAGTTTGTTTGCTTAGTTGATGTACCTCTGTTATAAACTAACCCAGGATTTTCAAACATTGATCACAACTTTACCTGATGAATACAAAATAAATGGGGAATGTGTCCATGGGACACAGATGATGCCCCCAATTGCATATCATATAAAGTTATGAAGGGACATAACTGAAGAACGGTAAAGGTGACACTACCCAAATTTGTACTTGATTTGAGTTTTGTGGTAATAAGTATTGTGTATAAGATTCATAACATTTGGTTGAGGCTAACTTAAGTTAGAGAACGGAAACGAAAAATTCAGCAATTTTTCCATTTGTAAAGGGACATAACTCTTGAACAGTTAAAGTGATGCCACCAAAATTCAAACTTGATCTGTGTTTTGTGGTAATAAGCATTGTGTATAAGTTTCATAACATTTGGTTGAGGCAAACTAAAGTTAGAGAACGGAAACCAACTTTGGGACTTACGTATGGACAGAGGGATGTACAGACGGACAAGGGTAAAACTTAATGCCCCCTCAGCTACGGCAGTGGCATAAAAAAAGATGTACTACAATTGCCAATGTCTGATGAAGAAATATGGTCTTGTTTTAGACCTTTAACATATTAGAAATATTTGTATTAATCTTCAAACCAAAATATTTATGAGCTAAGCAGATTTTCATTAATATAGAATTAAGGGGATGTGGTATGATTGCAACTATATACCAAAGTTCATATGAAGTGAATGTAAGCAATTATAGGCAACCCTACTGCCTCCAACAATGAGAATAAAATGCTTCGCTGGGGCGCAGCTTGATACGACCGCAGAGGTCGAACCCTGAACAGTTGGGGCAAGTATGGACACAACATTCAAGCTTGATACAGCTCTGAATTTGGATTGTTATTAAATATTTGACACAGCATAGGTTTCTGACACAGAAAGAATGTGGTCTAAGAACTTGAATTTTTTTAATTTACCTATTATGGTCCAATGTCCAAAATCAAAATACATGGTTAGATTCAGCATATCAAAGAACCCCATATATTCAATTTTTGTTAAAATCAAACAAAGTTTAATTTTGGACCCCAACTTGGACAAACTTGAAAACTGGGCCCATAATCAAAAATCTAAACACATGTTTAGATTCAGCATATCAAAGAACCCCAAGAATTCAATTTTTGCTAAAATCAAACTAAGTTTAATTTTGGACCCTTTGGACCTTAATGTAGACCAATTTAAAAAACGGGACTTAAAATAAAAAATCTAAATACACGGTTAGATTTGGCATATCAAAGAACCCCAATAATTCAATTTTTGATGAAATCAAACAAAGTTTAATTTTGGACCCTTTTGACCTCAATATGAACCAATTTGATAGAGGGGCCCGCAAATAAAAAATCTAAATTCATGGTTAGATTCAGCATATCAAAGAACCCCATATATTCAATTTCTGTTGAAATCAAAAAAAGTTTAATTTTGGACCCCAACTTGGACCAACTTGAAAACTGGGCCCATAATCAAAAATCTAAACACATGTTTAGATTCAGCATATCAAAGAACCCCAAGAATTCAATTTTTGTTAAAAATCAAACTAAATTTAATTTTGGACCCTTTGGACCTCAATGAAGACCAATTTAAAAAACGGGACCCAAATTAAAAATCTAAATACACGGTTAGATTTGGCATATCAAAGAACCCCAATAATTCAATTTTTGATGAAATCAAACAAAGTTTAATTTTGGACCCTTTTGACCTCAATATGAACCAATTTGATAGCGGGGCCTACAAATAAAAAATCTAAAAACATGGTTAGATTCAGCATATCAAAGAACCTCATATATTCAATTTTTGTTGAAATCAAACAAAGTTTAATTTTGGACCCCAATTTGGACCAACTTGAAAACTGGGCCCATAATCAAAAATCTAAATACATGTTTAGATTCAGCATATCAAAGAACCCCATATATTCAATTTTTGTTGAAATCAAACAAAGTTAAAATACTGGACCCTATCTTGGACCAACTTGAAAACTGGGCCCATAATCAAAAATCTAAACACATGTTTAGATTCAGCATATCAAAGAACCCCAAGAATTCAATTTTTGTTAAAATCAAACTAAGTTTAATTTTGGACCCTTTGGACCTTAATGTAGACCATTTTAAAAAACAGGACCCAAAATTAAAAATCTAAATACATGGTTAGATTTGGAATATCAAAGAGCCCCAATAATTCAATTTTAGATGAAATCAAACAAAGTTTAATTTTGGACCCTTTTGACCTCAATATGAACCAATTTGATAACGGGGTCCACAAATAAAAAATCTAAATACATGGTTAGATTCAGCATATCAAAGAACCCCATATATTCAATTTTTGTTGAAATCAAACAAAGTTTAATTTTGGACCCCAATTTGGACCAACTTGAAAACTGGGCCAAAAAAATCAAAAATCTAAATACATGTTTAGATTCAGCATATCGAAGAACCTCATATATTCAATTTTTGCTAAAATCAAACAAAGTTTAATTTTGGACCCTTTGGACCTTAATGTAGACTATTTTGAAAACTGGACCCAAAATTAAAAATCTAAATACACTGTTAGATTCGGCATAATAAATAAATTAATGTGATCAAAGATTTTACAAATCTAATGTGCCATACTGTGCAATTAAAGATTACTTCTTGAAATTTTTCAATATTTGAAATTTGAAAAAAAAATAATATTTGAAGAATAATTCTTTTTAATTTCTGAAATCTGA